TAGGTGTCCCCTCTACGGAAGGAGAGAGTTAAACAAATAACTAACCTCTTACACAAGTACTTTGTATCAGTGGCTTCGTTCCGGATCCTCTCATGCTAGTTTCTTTGGTAACTTTAACCGGGAGTTAGCTAAGCGAAACCCTTTTTCCCATAATGCTTGTCAAATATCGTTCGCTATTACAACCACAGTTTTTTTTGAAACGATTTTGCTGGTTATGCTCAAAATCTGAACTAAGAAGATCGTCTCAGCTTTCATTTCTTCGCTAATGCATGAAGTCGATCCGTATTAGTAGAATCCACAAGAAATTGTTCAATTTTAAAAATAGAATCTCGATTTGCCTTCTTCTCGTACTACTTACTCCTCTACAGCTCCAGGAAAATTTAGTGGGTCCAGTTGCCTGAAATGGCTGTATTTGTTGTAGCCGACTGATCAAAACTTCGGAAGTAGGTCTTCAAGGTATCTATCATATTCTAAAAAAATTAGCGTAGTTCAAGCTGCAGATGATAGCTAGACTTGCACAACATTTGTCACCAACTGACTTTTATTTCCGTGAAGGGTGCCAAGTTTGTATCAGCAGACAGTAAAATGCACCCTCTGGCGCAAATTATGTCTTAGGTTTCTTCAGTTTCGGCACAAGCCGTGTCGTAAATAGTCTAGACACTTTTTTCTTGTAGATTTTGTGCTGCTACTCGATTTTAAATCCTTCTTTGCAGGCTACGAATTGGCGAAAATCGAAGGTATCATCGGTTCACCTGAAAAGCCCCTCTCCGATCTTGGTCGACTGAGTTACAAGAGTTATTGGGAAGGTGTCATCTTTCGCTACCTCTTAGCCCACACCAGCTGCACTATTGAGGAGATTAGGTAGGCTGCTGCTCTTTTCATCAGGCTAACGTAGTATCAGCACTGCTACTTGTATCGCACCGGAGGACATAATATGGACATTACAGACGCATGAGGTCATTAAGAACTGGCGCCACGGACGTCATTTGGAACTGAGTCGTCAGGCGCTGAGCGAGTACATGACGCGGATAGTGGGACGGGAGCTGAGGGAGGCGCGCGGTGGTGGCGAGGGGGCTGCAGCATCTCCCCTCGTCTTCGATGTCTCCTGCCTCCGATGGACGCCACCACCATCGTCCCGGCCGCTGACACAATTATCACCACACTCACATGCGGTGGGTGGGCAGAGACGATGACTTTTTTAGTGATATCAGTGTACATAGTATTTTATCCTGTTTTTAATAAAATGAATGTTTTTCTGTACCAGTTTAGATTAAGTAATTTGTTGATGGAAGGAGTCGCCAGAATTGGGTAAACTGATTTGGCCGTCTGTTTTTTCAAGGTAACAGGCGCCAGAGGTGCCCTAGGCTCTGCGGGTGTCAATTGCTTGTGCGTTGCTCATACTTCGGAATGGTAATCCATCTACTTCAAGAAGAAGCACCTTTAGATCTCCCACGATGTAGTTGCGGTTATGTTAAAGCGCCAGGTCAAGATGTGTGGGGCATTTGGGGTGTTCTTATTCATTCATTCATTCATTTGACAGATGTGTAGAGAATATTTTTAGCTTAGCCAGCGGATCATTAAAAGGTCTTCATTTAAGGAAAGGTAGTCTACATCCTCAAAGCTAAGAACCGACATTTGATCTCTTATGAGAGCGAACGTACCCCGACGCCTTCCGTGTCCCTTCAGTGGAAACTTCCAAACTACTCTTCTAGCAGGTATCAGGTAAGTGGAGTCGGGCGTAGATCTCCATTCGCGTAACCAGACCGGAAGTTACATTTTGCATAGCTTAAAGTTGGAATTGGTTAGCTGAATGGATCCATTCTAGACCATTTATTAATCCTCCTTTTGAGCACTTTTTTCTCCATCATTCCTCGGGTTTTTTAACTGTGCAGCCTTAAGACTTATTCTTGCTTAAAATAATGAACAGGTTTCTTTATTGTACCTGCTGTTAAACCTACCTACTGCGAGGGAACAATCACCTTGATTGTACTCTAGTTTGACAACTAAAAAGTGTGTTAGTCACCCTACTTTTTCATCAATTGAAAATCGACTCAGTGAGTGGACCAATAAGGATTGACATCGTGCAAGTGGATCGATGCATCATGCCTTGGTTGTATCGTTTACCAATTATCCAAATGAACTAATTTGCGGCTACACGCACCAATGGTAGTTGGAATCCCGGTTACTCACTTATTCTGCCTCGCAGTATGTGTTACCACGGCCCAGGCCTCCACATATGAAATTCAACAGGAGAGTTATCCAGTAAAAATATGGTGGCAGTGTCAGGGTGTACCAAACCTGCAGACGCAGAAGGTAAAGTACCTGGAGGAAGCGACGAAAGCCTTCTACCTCGCCCGTCTGGCGGGTAAAGCAAGGATCGATCGCGACCTTGCCGATCACGTCCCACCCGCCTCCATCCTCAACAACGAGCGCTACATGAAGATAGTCCAGCAGGTGATCGAGGAACCGCAAGACAATCTGGGGAGTCAGTTGATGATGCGAATTAACTGCGAACTTTTCAACGATTTGGAGTGGGTGCAGAAGGACTACGACATTGACCTCTCCCGCAACACCAATGGGGTGCGTGGGTTGCTTGATATTATCTACCGGTGAGTCATGGTGATCCATTCCTCTTCAACTTTCTAATGGCTATTCAGGTCAAGAGGATATAAGCAATTAAGATGTTTAATAGTTCTTTCAAACCTACTAATAATCTCGCTATTTAGGTCGAATTTTTCGAAACTATTCCGTAACGATATTCAATTTGGATTGTTTTTATCTCCCATGCTTGTCTTAATGATTCAGTGTTAAAATGTAAAGACCTTCACGAAGTGCTGGCAATACATTACATTTATTATTCTTATTGAGGCATTAAATTACAAAACTATGGAAATACGCGTTTGGGGTTAAACTGATTATCAACCTACGGGAAAGTTTAAGGTCCAGATGACATAAGCGAAACCCCATGGCCTTTAGCGTGAGGGCCTAGCATCGACATCTTCCTTGGCTAATCCGTGATCAATTGTCTACCTTGAATGAAGGGCAGCTGTGAAATGGAAACAATGATGATGCAATGAACATGTCGTTTTGCGTAGATTTTGAAGAGACAGTATCCTGTTCGGTGAATGTTTTAAAGGGGATGCATCTGTGTGTCAATCACATGTTGGAGGAACTTTCCTCCAAAGTCGGCGCATCTTAATCGAATATACAATTTGAAGTAAATTTTCTTTGCTACTCAACTATTTAGCTGGATACTTCTCAGCTTCTCGTAGAATGGAGGAACATCAGGTCTGTGGTTCAGGCTTGTGACTTTTTTTCGTAAAGATATGTTACTTTATTCACCTAGGAACAGTTTTGATTTGTCCATTTCTGTTCTCTTTCCATTACTGATTATTGTACAGAACCCTACATGGGGTGTTTGCCTAACGTTGACGTATCTTCAATAGCCCTTCTATTGTATTTCTGTAAATTTAGTCATCCACAACAGTTCCCTCCCATGATGTTTCAACTCAATATTCATCTGCTAAAATCGAGATTGTTCTTGTTCTTTTAGCGTGGATAGTATAACTCAGAACAGTGTGAAATTAGATTTACCACAGAATTATGGAAGGGCTGGAAGAACGGTAACTCATTTGGCATAATCACAGTTTAGCACCCCTAGCGAGCAGTTCAAATCACGAAAGAAGTAGCAGGAATACACTTGCGGTGCAGAGCACTATCCTACATCCAGTATTTGTTTTTATTTCTGAAAAGGTGAAAACTTGTTCCTGTATGACAAGACGTTAGAACGCTAGAAGCATACTTAAAGCAAAAATAAATGCCTTCGACTTGTCAGTATTCCTTAGCTAAGCTCTCTACACGATGGAACTCTGAATGCTACAAGCATCTATTCAGCACCACATGAAAGTTAAACAAATGCAATTATGCTGTAAATGAAATGGGGTTTTGCCCCTACGGATGACCTTTTAGCCTGTCAAAGGATCAGGGCGTTGGATGCTGGGGTGGTACGTCTGACTGGCATTCATAAAACGTGGAAGCTCAAGGGTGGATTAGAATGCCATAGAAACAGATAATGTACTTAAGGCCTTCAATGGAGAACGAGAAGTTAGGCGTAGCGGATAGTGTGGTCGTTGCGAGATTACTTGATTAAGTGGCATCAGCTTCGTATCACTGCCTCAGATTCATGGTGTTAATAAGAAAATTTAACTGGAGAACCATGTTTGTCCTATCTGTGGTAATTAACCAAGTGAGCAACCAGTTTTACGAGGAGCAGTAGCAACAGCAGTATCGAGTAATCAAGTGCCGTTCGACGGCTCAAAATTAAAGCAATGGTGACTAGATGAGTGTCGTTTAGTAACAGAGGTGGATACACTTAAGCAGCGGTAACTAAAGTGAAAAAAGGGCAAAATACAGCAGGCCTAATTAAAGCACCCCATCGTGCCTTCAGTATAGGTCTGTGCGTACGTGGTATCGACAAGCACCTCAACTGTCCTGACCCCTGTCGGACGAAGGGGTTAAAATTCTGCAGGAAGGCAGTACACTCGATTGGAATTTGCGGAGCCTACGTGCCGGAGGAACTGCGCCTTTACGCAGCCGAAAAGGAGGAGGAGAACGCGAAAGCGTTATCGGGGGACTTTCGCCGCTGGCATGCCATGATCCCCCCAGCCAACCGCATGCCCATCTCGTTCTTCGAACACTTTGTTGGCAGAAAGGAGCTTTTTGTCAATGCCTTTGAGGCCCAGCTTGCTGCTCTCAAGGTGCCCTTCTGCATTTGTGAACCATTCTACACGGTGAGTTGACATAACTCCCGTTTGTAAGTGGAGCTCGACTGTTGTTTGTACCAGGCCACTAAGGCTTCCATTTATGATAAAGATTTCCTTATTTTCAGCAGCCATTATATAGGTAAGTAAGGCAATCTCCCTTTAATTCCACTTAAGTTCTCAATTCTAAAGTGACTAATTCCTGAGGAGCCCTCACAATCATCGAATTAGACTTCGTAAGTCTTGATTGGCCAGTGCACTCCCTCCAACATTGCATTCACTCACCATTATAATGGATGCCTACAAGCTCAAAATCCTATCTTTCTAAAAGAGTAAGTAAAGAATGACGTCCACTACTCCCGCCTAAAATAAGTGAGCATATGAGTTGGATTGTAGTGACCTCAACTTTCCTATCAAACGATGTTTTTTAATGACGGGTGAGAACGTAATATTCGTTGTTTGTAGGCCAATGCTACTGCGGTAGTCAGTCGTGGCTACAAATCACACGTAATGTATGAAGGATATTTGTGGTTGACTACTAAATGACCTTCTTTTACTTATTAAATTGTGAATTAGGAGCTCGGATGCTGTTCCTTTATTGTTGATACCTAAACTGAAATGCTAAATGGTGTGGAAAACTGATTTTCAAACTAGAAGCATTATCGTGTTTAAGCTAAAGAGTTTAGTAATCCTCATTGTCTCTGTTTGAGTGTGCGATGGACCGAGGAAGCGTTTTAACCCCACAAAGTCCGAGTTGAGAGAAAGAGGGGTTGGAGCAATTTAGCAGAAAAGCAGAGCTTGTGTAGCTAGCTTTTGGTCAGCCGTTGGTCAAGGATCATTCAGATGGTCGTTCATGCGTGCGACTGCCTTTGGTCTCCCTCCAGACTTCTGGCGTTAGTCACGGGTCACGACACACGCGTTTGCGTTTGCGCCACCATCTGGTCTGTAAACATGCATCGCAATGTTAAATGTGGTTGTTTTATAACCATCATATAAGTCGCAACCTCCCTCCAAATGCCTCAAACCTTACTCCATTCTTAGACTCGATTAGAGAGGATACTCTTTCGATGTGCTTTTATAGATCACTGGAACTTAAACTTACGCTTTCGTTTGCGTGGATTAATTGTTTGGTTATTCACCTGCTGTTAGTCTTACTGTTGCATTTCGACTAAATTGAATAATTTGCCTGTTTTAGCGATTATAAATTATTCGATTACAGTTGTTGACTATGCTTGAAAACCGTAATGGGACCTGTAGCGCATCG